CCTTTAAAGATGAACTCATTGATTGGGGGTTATTTAGGAGCAGTGGAACAAGCTCAACATTTCACCCATTATTATCATGTAAAGTTGTCATGGCGAATGTGTTAGCAAACAGCCAACGGCGGACGCAGAACATCCCCGTTCGTTTACAGCTGTGTTTTCGGTGAATCCGATGAATTCAAGTCCAACGAAACCGAAACAATTTGTCGACATAAGACGTGTAAAGTCGGCGGGTGCAGCTGCTGTAAAGAGACGCTTTCTTCAGTGGAAACCAGCCCGTTGCAAAACGCAATTCAAAACAGCATCTGCACCTCTCAGCCCTCTCACAGCCTCTTCACTCGCCAACGGGCAGGATTGAGCTCTTCACATGGTGGATGTCTGACCGAACGTTTTTTCGAGATGCCGTGCCTGTTTCTGGGGCAGACGGAATTCCACGCGGTAATTATGAGTGGAGGGGAGGGGGGGAGGAGGAAGCAGCTGATTCCATTGTGTTGTCTGATACACTGAAAAAGGTCACTGATCTGTGGACTGAATGGATGCCTTGGGGAATTACAATAAACCCTTTGTCTCCGCAGAGTAACCCTCCCGTCTCACCTACTGTCCCCTTCCCGTCTAATCAGTATTGAGAGGCTGTGGCAGCAGGAGCGATGACATTGGCAAACCACGGTCCTTTTTCCCATAGAGCCGGTGCATAGGCATGCTGGAGAGGGGGGGGGGACGTCTACTGAGTTATGCCGCCACCCCTCTTTTGGCTCTCGTCAGGCTGCGCTGCTGGGAAAATGGGCACAGAGAGGTTGAGGTCGGGACAGTCTAACGCAGCTTCTGTTCCCCATTATCATCCTCCGTCCTCTATATCTCTGCTAAACATGTCTGCCGTCTCATACGTCATATCCAGAACCAGGTGGGGAGGAATTTGACTGACATGTTTTAATGGCATGAAGATAAAAGTAGCTGTACCCAAATGGCAGCCAGCCATAGGTGACAGAAAAGGGCAACGGACTTTACAGAAGCACCGGCTCGGAGTAAACGCTTATAGGTCACTGGTCAATACAGCGGCATGATGAAGGGCTAGCTCTTAGCCTGGCAAATTACTGTTTCCATCCTCAAAGTGGCAAGGTCCCCAATCAATGGGAATTGAATTGGGCGCCGGGTGGTAAAAGTGTGACAGGCGACTCTTGGCTGTCATTTATCTCGCCGCAGAGAGGCACATTTCAGAGGTGAGTAGGAGCACTTTCCTTTCCTTCATTGGCGATTTTACAGCGGACAGAAGGTCAAATCAGCGTGTTTTCATCTCAAACACTTAGTTCTACCTGACTTCCAAGCATATAAATGTGGTTTTCCTCGTCTGAAAACAAGCTGCCGTACGAGAGCCCTCACTGAAATAAAATGCAGTCAGCCATTTTTTTTTTGTTCCGGTTGACAGGAAACCCGTGGTAGCAGTTGCTGGTAGCGGCTAACTTTGGTTGAAGAATTGGTTGCTAGCTTACAGTAACCTTTAAAGCAACCTCACACTCATCCAGCCATGAGAGCATTTTGTTCGTCTGGGTTTGTTTGTTTTTTTGGACGATTCAGTGGAAGCTATCAGTCCCAGGTGCTAATGTTTTGTTGTTTATTTTTTTTGATCCAGCAGCTGTAAATGGGAAATGTAGCTCTAAACACCAGACTTATTAAATTAGCTCTGGAAAACTCTGAAATCAGGCAAGAAAAATTTGGATTTACAGTAAAAAACCATCACATTTGCCTTCAGTACTTGACAGTTTTTGATCAAAACCATCCAAATGATGAACATCAGAATTTTAATATAAATATTTTTATTTTATTTTAGACAATTACTTAATTAAACTTATGGTGATGCCTTTAAATTGCTCTTCAGACTGAACGTGGAGCAAACTTGAGAGATGAAAGTCAATGTAAAGACATGGACGCATAATTGAACCTATGAAAATTTAAAATATTTTTACTTGAGCAAAACATTTGCAGACAATCTCCTCAAGCCTCAAACACAAGGTTGGTGCGTAAATTGCTAACTAGCTACAGCTAACCTCTGTGCTGTCGGCACAATGGATGTTGCAATGGGTTGTTCCAAACCCCCGAAGATATTCATTGCTGTTTAGGATTTTTACTCGTTGAGTGACGTTATTTGATACTGAAGAACTTGAGCGTTGATATTTGAATATAAAATATCAGCCTGTGTACACAGTGGTCAAACTTGACTGGAACAGGCCTGCACCCTGTTTATGTGTCCATCATGGTGTCCTAATGAGGGAAAGTGTGAGATAGGGGATGAAGATAAGCTGCTCAGTGTCGAGGCCACTGAAGATTAAACAGATTTTATAGGTAAAGCATTTACCTGTTTACTGATTACAGTGGCAGCCTTTGTTCCCTGTTCAATCTGAAGATAAGGCTGACTTAGGCAGTTCAGGAGGTTAGTGATAAAGGATTGAGCAGCCAGCCACGTCTGGCACCTCTGGGACTCCAGAATAAGAATGGGTGGGCAGGGGGGGGCACACGGTGCGATGTCATCATCTGTCTGCCATCATCTGTGTTAACGCACAGAGACACGAAGCCTGATTTTCCAAGAAAGAGCAGGATGCGGAAGGAGAACAGATGATAGGATGTCAGATGATTCACCCGGCGATGACAGAACAGAGCAGGCTGCCTGCGACGGCGGCGTGAGCGACGTACCTTCACGTCCCATGACTAAATATTAACTAAGGGAGTTTAAACATGACTAGAAGTGACTGTAATGCCAAGAATAAAACGCTGCTGTTTCCCCAGGTGCACCATAAAAACTGTCTCACAGGCACATTGGAGAGATTTGTTTCTTTCTTGCTCATCTCAGAGCTGTTTGAGTCCCTGTTTACCAAAAATTCTTACAACACATTTGTATTATATTAGCTCAACTTAAAGTTGCACTAACTATTAATTTTGTTAACAATTAATCACTCAGATCTACAAAACTTTAAGTTATTGATTTGGTTTTCCTTCCCACAAATTTACCATGACATTGCTAATGCTCTCATTAGCCTCGTTAGCTGCAGCAGGCTGCTTCTGCAAAAATAAAAGGCTAATAAACCCACTGTGCCCTACCTGACTGCTGACCGCACTTTAGCATTTAGCAGCTAAAGAGCCGGATATTTTTCTCCGGGGTTGGTGGAGACAAAATCAGGAGCAAAGTAAAACTGAATATCGGGCTAACACGACTTCTAATGCACGTTAATGTTGCCACGTGTGTCCGGGAATAAGCAGCTCTCTGCTAACACATCCAGCATAACGACTGTGTGAGGGGATCAAACATACGTCAGTGTCGTTGTTACGCTGCAATCAGGTGACCAACATAAATCTTTTACTGCAGCTTTAAAGTAATAAACAACATATTTTTATATATTGATGTAAAACATTGATGGTTGAACCTATAATCAGTTTTATATTTATGTTTCTAGAAGTGTTTTCTAGTAGGAGAAGAAGAACTTGGTAGTTATCATGATCAGAGAGAGTCATCATGGCTGAACAGAAGGGCCTCCAAACCTAGACACACTAATCTCAGCTGCATGAAAAATTAAAAAGGCCTGGTATTGACCACGCTGTCATATTGACAGGTGATCACTATGTCACAGTCGCATCACAGCAGCCAGACCAAGAAATGAGACTGAGCCAACCATGACCTCATGCACATGTAATTAACACAGGGTGAGATCATAAAATTTAAAAAGGACAGGCCTAGGAGCTAAAAAAAAACGAATAATAAAAAACTGCCAGGACAGAGACCCAGGCCTCATTTTCCTCACTTGGCAATAATGATTCACTACAGAGCACGTTCAAGAAGACAAGACTACACACACACACACACACACACTACACACACATACACACACACTACACACACATACACACTAACACTGCTTGAAATTCGTTCACCAAAGCAGAAAGACTGCACACACGCCTTTGCACACATGTGGAACTGGCACTCGTCTGAATGTGAATACATGCTGTCCTCAGGATGATGACATGAAGGGGCTACCACACACACACACACACACACACACACACACACACACACACACACGTTACATATACATTTAGCACATTTGTATAGACGTTGTAGTCAGGGTTATGAAATATTAGTTCCATTGTAGTTTTCAGCATCTCATTATAACCTAAGTGGTAAATTACGTCTATTTTTAGGAGGGTTCAGGTCCCATTTAAAACACTGCACACTGATACACAAAATGGCCCTCAGCTTTGGCCCTCAGAAACTGACAATGACTGGACCTGGACTGAACTAAACTACTTCTCAACTGCATTCTGAAAAGTCCTCTGGGTCTTTTAAGGTGAAACCCCCCCCCTCCCTCAAAACAACACCATATGCTTTCACAGATTCTTCTTGACGGTATTTTAACGTTGCAAATGTTTGACGCTGGCTTCAGACTGATTGATTTTGACCGTGGTTTCATTTCACAGTTCACCATATCACCAGCAACATCTGAAGGTCACGGTTTACGCACCTTTTTAATAAATCAAGGGAGATAATCCAGCTGCCATCGACCTGATACGCACACCTCCATATGGAGGTGACAGGCTGCTGGAGTTGACTGGAGCTTACTGTCGGCCTGTATTTGACATTTGCTATAGAACACTGTTAAATATTAACAAGCCTGCAGCTGAAGCCTCAGATGATTGATGTTGGCAAGATAAGTTGATCCGGAGGATTTGTTGTTTAAGCTCCTGATGTTGTTGTTTAGATTGTTTTTTTTTTTTATTATTATCTTATTTTATTTATCATGTCATTTTCTGTGCGGATAATGGCTCCAGCATGCCTCATTGACTCTTCCCTGCATGCTCTATATCGCAACCAGCAGCTTCTTCTCCGGCAATCACTCCCCTGTCTGTGTTGGAGGCTGCTCGCTGTGTTAGCGCGCGGCGGCAGCAGCAGAAGCCAGTCTGATGTCCTACCTGTGGAGCAGAACAGGTGACAGTGTATGTGCGCAACGACGGACACTCACCAACTGATTTCAGTGCGCTTCGCCGAGGAGGGAGGAAGAAAAAAAAACAAAAAAAAACAAAAAAAAACAAAAAAACCACCAAGGACTGGAGTCCGAAGTTGGAACTAGCCGCCAGACACCATCTTCTTCAGCAGGGGCGAAGAGGAGAAAGTGCGGCGTGTCGGGGAGCCCGTCCGGTGCGACACATTACACGGCCTCATCACAGCTGACACGCTGGACCCGCGGCATAGCGGACTGAACAGCGGCGACAGCACACGAACAGCCGAGCGCTTCACTGTGCGCTCGCTCCCGGGCAGCAACAGGGAGGAGCGTCAAGGCGCACGCACTCAGCGCGGAGGATACAGGAAGAGAGGGGATCTGGCCTTCAAAGTAAAAGCTGTCGAGAAAGCTTTTCGTTATATCCACGAGGGAAATTTAATCATTGCAGAAAAACAAACAAATGCTATAAGGACATGCAGAGAACACAAAATATAAATAAATATATTACATCCCAAGTTATATTGACATATAATCATAAATTAGACTAATGGCAATCACAACTTAAAGAAAAGAAAATAATCTAATATGTCTGTGAAAGATGAAAGTACTTTTGCCCAAACCTATACATAATATATGGATTTCAAAATAAATTACTTTGACAAAGTTCAATATAATAAATTGTATTGTATGCTGCTCTGTAGGTGTAAAAAATTATATAATTGAATTAGTGGATTTTCTATCTGATTTGAAACTCTCTCTCTATATATAATGTAACATTAATATTAATGCCATAGCTAAATAGAACATAAGGTTTTCTATTTTTTCAGCTGGAAATACCATTTGTATAAGAGGCTACAATTCAGTAAATGTGATATATTTGACCTATTTTTTTTTCTTTTTTATATACAATGTAATTCCAATTATCTCATAGCTTTTTGGAGTCAACTTTGAAGTCCAATCATTACTATTATTTTTGCCATTAGTAGCATTAACTATAGTGAAGTAGCCTATAATTTCTATTTATTTTGAGCATTTTGTTTTATTTTGAAGTCATACTGGTACCGTTTCCCGTGTGATTCCCGCCAAACGTGTCTGTTGTGTTTTGCCACTGCTGCTAGAAAGGTTTGTACCATTGTCTTTTTAGTGAGGGTGTGCACCTTGTCTACACAGTCAGATATTCACAGATGGAATCGCCTTTTCACCTGTCAATAGATCGAATTCAATCACTCAGTCGTTTGTCCCCAGTCCCAAGTTACATGGACAAAGTATTATATCAATCCTTATCTCATTATTGCTGGATGCATAATAAACTAATGCACATGTATTGCAGATAGGCTACCACCACCTTAAAATAGTAACAGAGGAACAGAGCTCCTGTTACAGCAAAGTCAACTGTGTTTTCACCAAAGGCTGTTTGTTCCAATCAACAGGCTCTTTTACATTATCAATATTCTGTGTTCTTCAACCCATTTAGTGTTGTCGAACGACGAAGTACCATTAAGGCACTGATAAATGTGTGAAATGCATGACCATGAACTCACTGTTACCAACAGGCTCAAGAGCCACAGGACAATAACAGGGAACATAGTGGACTGATAATACTACTCACTACTGAACTGCACATGAACAGAATGAGGTCATTTTAGAAATATCAAAGATTAGGAACAGAATCACTTTAGCCAACATCAGTCCCTGGAGGAATATTTGAACACTGACATAATGTAATGAGGCTGTTACCTGATTAACATCAAATCATCTTTTAACCCACTGGAACCAAGATTCTGGAGTCTTTTGAGGATATTATAAATCTGTTGCTCTTTAGATTGTGGGGAAATAAAGACGTGGAGAAGTGGAGGCTCTGTTTTTGCATTGAAATCATTTACTCACAGGTGAACACCTTCACTGTGTTTCTGAAGGTTAGACACAGACAGATGGCGGTTCGCCCCCTATTGCTTTAAACTCACTGCCTGACCTTCACCGTCATTCCTGTTTGCTCACTGTGTGCTACCTCTGGTGAAACAAAATCATTATTATTCCTATTTTGCTCCAAGGTGGCAATAAAATGTGGCTAACCAGTGATCTTATTGTGGATGTGGGCTAGTAGTGCGGGAAATGCAATGTATCTGTCATATTGTAAAAAAGCTTATTATTGACAGACTATTAAAAGAGTTTGTGTGGCTGCACTGTAAACAGATACACCAGTTGATCCTCTGACCATTTCAGTGTCTGACTGTTGAGGCCAAAGAGGTCAGATTATCCAACATTTCACAACAAGCATAGGTTAGACAAAAGTCCAAAAAATAAATATAAATTTGAATATAAATAACACTAATTGTATATAAAGTAGTTAAAACTAGCTCCTCTGGTAGCTACAACAGTAAAAAGGCTGCTTATACTTTGATGTATTAAAATTAATAATTGTACAGTGCAATAATAATATATTTTTACTATAGTATGGTTACATTGTGGTTTACTTAAGTAAAAGATGTGAATATTACTTCCACCAGAGGCGTTGGAGCAGGTGGGAAGTGTAACGATGAGGAATAATTGGAAACGCTGCTGAACACTGATCGCTGCTGGACAGGGTGGGAATGGCAGGTTCTGCAATGACAGCACAGGTTCATGGCTGGTAGACTGTCAACAGAGCAAAAAACACAAAAAAAAGTTATGCATTGGCTGTCACCATGACATCTTGTGTTTCCTATTTGTAAACACAGAGAGGATGTCCCCCAGAGACCGAGTCGTCTTTTAGAGGACAAGCAGTAGCCTATTTGTGAATCAGTGTATGAATATTTATTACTGGTGGGAATAAAAGTGGAAATAACATTTTTTTACAATAGCATGAGTAATAGATAAAATCAATGTCAATATGATTGTTCTTACCATTGTTTACAACAGATATACCACACATCATAATAGTTTATATACATGTGGGGTTTTTTTCCGTTTTGTTGATTGTTTAAAATTAATATCTTATGCTTTCTTTCAATAGGAGACATTGCTCTACAACAGGCAAAATAAAGGCTCCTGATTGTTAACACCAACGCCCTGTGTAAACTGAACTCACAGATGTATTTTGTGCAAAATTTACCCAAAAAGTGTCGGAAGTTGAGTGACTTTGCCATTAAAATAAAACTGAGAGCGTAAACACAGACGTTGTCTACAAAGAAAACAACACTTTATCATAACACTTCGTGGATTATTTGTATTCCATATTGATATTTAGTCCAAAATGCATAATCAAACAATCTGAAACAACTGACATCACATTAGGATGTATGTCACAAGCAAGTAGTGTACGTGGATACATGTGTTACATGTTTTATTTTGAAGGGCAAAGACGGATTTCCGTCTGTTGTGTTTAACTGACTTAACGTCACTATTTTTAACTTGGTTTCTTCCTGGACTTTTCAAGCGTTTGCGACTTTCATCGGAGTTGTGAATTAAATCAACATGGGTGCTTGTTTGGCACTGAGTTCCCTTGCCAGTTGTGTAAGTATACTTTTACTTTACACGGTTACTTCACTTAATACGTACACTCGTCATTTTCACACTTTCTTGGTTAATTTAGCAAAGTTTGTGCGTTGTTTAGCCAAAACATTAGCTTGTTTTGGTTTCGATGGCATGACGTCACGTGAAACTAGCTTAAAAAACGGCTAACTATCGGTAAATGTTTGTACATGCCTCAATTGACACAAGATTTATAATGAATACGTGAATGCTAGTTATTGTTCATTACTGTTAAATGAATATTACACATTCCATGAAGTCGCTGTAAAGTTTTATAGTTTGTAAACCGTCCTCCCGTCGTTCAACGTAGTGAAATGAAGCGTCTCTTCACCGTTTAAAGTTGACAAACCTCTTTTGAGGCAGTAAACATGTAACATTACCAACACGTGAGACGGGTGAATTACCAGATTTCTGATGACTATGGGTTGGTGTGACAGAAGGGACGTCTCTCTGTTTCTTGTTTTTTTTTTTTTACAGTTACCTTAAAGGGCAGTTTGTCGATTAAAGTTTCAGAGGTTCTTACAGTCAACAAGTAGCAAGGTTAATATGAACAGACTTTAAGACTACACGCGTTAGATCTGCAAAGTGTTCTCGTGAAGGCGCTATTTCCGGGTTTTACTCAGTATCTTACGCCATGCCTTTGAAAAGGGCGTCACTGTGTTTGTTGTTCTTAACTTGATCTGTCCATTGTAATCATTCTTACCTCGATTTATATTATATGATTTATATGATTCTTATGTGTCGTGTTTAATTCCATTGGACTGTTTCTCGTTTTATATTTTACAGCATAGAATCACAGTATAAATACTTAGTGTGTGTGTATATATATATATATATATGAGATTTTTGACAGTGATAAAAACGAATCCTAGAATTATCTAAATTAAGAACTAATGAAAAACACATAAAAGCAGTTAATATTAAAAGTATGGAACAGCTGCAGGAAGAGCTAAGTCAAATTGATTGATAAAGATTATTTTTCATTTTGATATTTTCTGTTTATCTACTATCCACTACTGCAATTCAGTATTAGAGCTGGGCATGAGTTGCAATTTTTGGTACCAGTGCCATAACAATACCTTTTGTTTTAGTACCACAACCAAGACAGTAACTCTTTTTGATTCCTTAGGAGTATAAATATGTGTTGCTACAAAACTTGTTTTGTCTAGCAAAATTTTTCAAATGTTAAACGGTGCTTAAACACAAGGAGTTATTGTACAAACTGGCAGAATTCTGACATAAATCACTCACATTTCAGTCTGTACCAGAATAGTATTGAGGTTTAATACCCAGCCTTTTTCAGTGTTGTGAAATAAAACTTGTGAAAAAGCTCTTTATATCGGGCACTGTAATTTTGAACACCCACTGTTATCACTATTAGCTCATTGTATTATTCTTAGCTAAAGTTATTTGTATTTGTGTAGTTTAAAGATTAGAGTTTATTGTTGCCAAGGCAGGATGGCAGAGGCCAGCCTGAACCATGGAAACTGGATTCTTCTCGTCAGGGATGCAGTGTTTACACCAGAGGCCTGTGTAGTCACATACTCATGTTTAGCGAAGGATGGCTGATCTCAGCTACAGTCTCTGCCTCAGTGCTTCACACACCTCTCAGCAGTCTGCATCTGAATCATGCAGGAATCCTCTGTGATCCTGTTTGCAGCTCTGGATAAGAAACAGAGAGAGGGAGAGATTTGTTATAGCGGAAGCTCTAATCACAGGCCTGATTACTGCCACTGTGAATCATCATTTATATCTGCTTTTCTAGAAGCATGCAGAAGGAAGACTATGGTTGCCCCGACAGCAGACACAGTGTTATTTGTTTTGTATTTTTTTTTCCCCCCTTCATCCACAGTCGTTGCAAGCCATGCATGCATTATGCTGATTATCCCACAACCCAGAGCCCT